GCCTAGTGATCATGAACATTTCCTCATGTGTCTGTTGGCCATTTAAATGTCTTCTTTGGTGAAGTGTCTGTTCATTTCCTTTGCCCATTTTTTAATTGGATTATTGGTATTTTTGTTGTAGAGGTGTTGCATTTTCCTGTAGATTTTAGAGATTAGACCTTTGTCTGACTTGTAATGTCCAAAAATTATTTCCCAGTCTGTAGGTTCTCTTTTCACTCTTTTGGTGAAGTCTTTTGATGAGCGTTTAAGTGTTTCATTTTTAGAAAATCCCAGTAATCTAGTTTATCTTCTGGGGTTTGTGTATTGTTGGTTATGGTTTGTATCCTGTCAATGCTGTACATTAGGGCCTCTAGCATTCATCCAATTTTTTCTTCTATGAACTTTATAGTTTTTGGCTTTATATTTAGGTCTTTCATACAAACTGAATTAGTTTTTGTGTATGGTGTGAGATATGGGTCCTGTTTCATTTTTTTGCAGATGGGCATCCAGCTTTCCCAGCACTATTGGTTGAAAAGACTATCTTTTCCCCATTTGATGGACTTTGAGCCCTTGTCGATGATCAGGTGACCGTAGGTGAATGGATTTACAGCTTGGTTCTCAATTCTGTTCCATTGGTCAATGTATCTGTCGTTGTACCAGTACCAGGCTGTTTTGACTACCATAGCTGTATAGTAGGTTCTGAAGTGAGGTAGTGCAAGTCCTCCTACTTTAGTCTTCTTCAATAGAGCTTTACTTATCCAGGGCTTCTTCCATTTCCATATAAAGTTAATGATTAGTTTTTCCATGTCTTTAAAGAATGTTGTTGGTATTTGGATCAGGATTGCGTTGTATTTGTAAATTGCTTTGGGTAGAATTGTCATTTTCACTATGTTGAGTTTACCTATCCATGAGCATGGGATGTTTTTCCATCTATGTAGATCCCTTTGGGTTTCTTGCAGTAGTGTTTCGTAGTTTTCTTTGTATAGGTCTTTTACATCCCTGATTAGATTTATTCCTAAGTATTTTTTTTTTTTTAGTGGCTATTGTAAATGGTATTGCTTTCCTGATTTCCTTTTCATCGTTCTCTTTATGGGTGTATAGGAATCCAACTGATTTTTGTATGTTTATCTTGTATTCCGCTACTCTGCTGACTCTTTCTATTAGTTCCGTAGTTTTCTCATGGAGTCTTTTGGGTTTTCTATGTATAGTATCATATCATCCGCAAACAGGGACAGTTTAACTTCTTCATTACCAATTTGGATGCCCTTTATTCTTTTTTCTTGCCTTACTGCTCTAGCTAGGACTTCCAGCACAATGTTAAATATGAGTGGTGATAAAGGGCATCCTTGTCTTGTTCCTGTTTTCAAGGGGAATGTTTTCAGCCTCTGTCCATTAAGAATGATGTTGGCTGTTGGTTTTGTATCGATGCCCTTTATTACGTTGAGAAATTTCCCTTCTATACCTATCTTATGAGACTTTTTATCAGGAATGGGTGTTGGACTTTGTCGAATGCCTTTTCTGTGTCAATCGAGATGATCATGTGATTCTTTCCTTTTATTTATGTGGTGGATTATGTTAATTGATTTTCTAATGTTGAACCATCCTTGCATAACTGGTATGAATCCTACTTGGTTGTGGTGAGACTTGAATTCCCTATCAGGTAGTTCTAGTGTCTTTTCTTCTACTGGAAAGTTGTCTGGTGTTTTATTTTGGATGTCTACTGGAACCATCCTGCCCTGTTTTTGTTTATGTTTTGATAGTCTGCTGTCTTCAGGCATTTAGTAGTTATTTTCCTTGTTTATTGATTGTAGATTTGTTTGTTTCATCCTGCTTTTTTATTTGGTTATGTCCGAGCACGTGGGCTGTGCATTCTTTGTTGTTTGCTTGTCTGTGGGCACGATACTTTTCACCTCCTTTTCCAATGGGCAGGGTCAGTCACTCAGGTATGGTACAGCAGGGCAGGTCCAGCTGAAGGGGAGTTGCTGGGATGGGTTGTTT